GCGGCCGCAGAGGACTGAGCTGGGCGACCCTCGCCGCCCCCCGCCGCCTCTCTGAGGCCCTCCAGAGCTCCGGACCCCCGGGCTCTGGAGGGCTCAGCGCCAGGGTCGACCCCCTGTCCTCTCGCCGCCCGGCTGTCGGAACTCGAGCCGAACTCCAGCCTTGGGCGCCAGAGGCTGGCGCTCCCCTCGTCCCGACCCACCCCCCCCCTCCTCGGTGCACACACGCGGTGGTGGCGGCAAGAGTCCCTGGGTGGCTTATTAATGACAACGGGCGAGCGAGCTCTGCCCCGAATTCTGACCCAGGCAGCGGCAGAGGAGGGTCCGGAGGAGAGGCAGCTGGATGGGACAGACAGGATCCGGGGGTCAGGAAGTCCTGAGGAAGACCCGGGAGGCGGGCGACATCTCAGCCACCACCAAGACCTGGACTCTGGCGGCAGGAAAGGCAAATCCTTCATGCTGGTGGGCCTGCTCAGGCCCTGGGTGAGACCTGCCCCTGAGAGCCCCAGGGTGCCTAGCCTGCCCTGGCTCATTCCTGGGGACAGCCTGAGGCCAGACAGGGCCTGCAGTGTCTGAAACATGTCATGTGGCCTGTGTCTGCTTCTCCCTCAGGCTTTCTGGTGTCCCCGGTCCTGCTCAAGACTTGGCGTCCCACTGTCCCAGCGTTAACAAGGGCTGACTCTTCTCTTCAGCTTTGGTTCATGTATTCACTTTTGAAATCCGACTTTAAGGTAGAGAGTCAAGGCAACCCGTAAGAACCAACCCCAGCAGGGACCCTTCCTGGAGCTCAGGGTTCAGGTGCCTGATGGGACGTCGAAGCCACCTTGCTGAAAGGAGGAAAATCGAATGTCTTCTGGGGTTCTTGGGGGGCTCACATCACTCCCAGACTGAGTCCCAACATGGCCATCGCTGGCTTAAAGCGCCACACACACCGACTCCCCTGACGGTTCCCTCCGCTGGTGTGGTGGCCTCCCAAGTGGTTGCTGAGAGGTTCCTGGGATGTGGAAAGTGGGAGAAATCTTGTCTCTGTTGCTTTACAAATTGTGTGTATGCCTTCGGGTATAAGAATGCTTTTGTACAGTAGTCTAGTATACAGTGTGTGGGTGGATGTATGTGTCTATTTTGTGAGTGCACACTTGAACTCTGCCTTTTACTGAAGAGGGCATGCAATCAGAAGAGTCAGGAGAGGGTTGTCCAGAGGGTGAAGCTGCCGGCCTTTTCCTTCTGGTCTCCCTTGTCTTTCTGGCTCCATCATCTAATATTCTTCCCCATTCTTCCTCTTCTCCTGATGCCTCGGCCGTGACATCTTTGCTCAACTGCCACTCACCTTCCAGAAGATGCTTTCATGTCAGGAGCCTGGCAGTTTTCTGTCTGAGGGCTCGTCCTTCCTTGCCCTCTGCACATTCAGATGTCCCCAGCTTCTCTTTGAACTTTTCCTGACGCTTGCAAGTCCCCAAGCGCTCTGTGGGTGCCTTGGTAACTCCTAAGTCACCCGACTGCAGTCATTTAACTAACTTGACAGCACATTTCTCTATACTGTTAGGAAGGCCCAGTCTTATTAAATGGACGTTCTGGGTACATGCTCAGTGCCACAGCGCACGCCTTCACCCTGCCACCGGCGGGGAGCACCTCGGCCCAGAGAGCTTAATCAGTACTCACAAGGTCGGGGCTGCTGACCCCACTAATCAGCTTGAGCCTCCTAATCCATCCCCAGAAGGGACCTCAGGACAGACGGCAGTGGCTCGTGAGAGCTGGCTGGGGCCATTTTGGCCCCTTGGCTGTGCTCGCCTTCCGCAGACCTGGTCTGGGAGGGGATGGGGCAGCTGCGCCATGTGCACCACCCTCTTCCTGCTCAGCACTTTGGCCCTGCTCTTGCGCCGCCGATTTGCCAACCGAGTCCAACCGTGAGAAACCGACTGGGTTATGGCTGGGGGTGAGGGTGGGGAACCCCTGGGTCAGGCTGCCGCCACACTGAAGGTGGGTGGGGGCTTCCTGGACCTCCAGAGGTGCTGGGAGGGATTTTGGGAGAACCCCTGAGAAGCTCGTTCTCAGGTTAGGGGGAACCGAGAGCTTCCACGGCACTAGGTTGCAGCCTCCGTCCCGTCGCCAGTGTGGCTAGGTCTCGTGGAGGGGCAGGAGGGGCTGGGCACGGCTCATGGCGCCTCTGCCTGCTCTCGCCTCCCCCAGAGAGCCCAGAGGAGTGGATGGGGCAGTTATGTGCAGCAACTTGGACACAGAGCTCCAGTCCTCAGGCAGGTAAGGCAGAAGAGAGTGTGGGCTGGAGAGGGAGGGTGCTGCTCTAGGAGCTGTCTCTGTGCCCACCTGGGGGTGCGTGCGTGCGTGTGTGTGCGCGTGCACTGTCTCCTGGCCCTGGTCCTGGGCACTCTGCTCCCTGTGTGCCTGGTAGCTAGGCTGGGTGTGTCTTCTCCAGCTGGGAATGTGCGGTCTCCGGGGGTACCTCCGGTGGGAAGGTGCAGGGGAGTGGAGAGAGGGATGAACAGAAGCAGCTCTGCCGGCTCTGCTTGCCTTTCCTGGCCCTGCCCTTCCCCCTCCTCCTCCCCTGCCCCCGCCCCGCCTAGCGCCTCCAGTGCCGAACCTCCAGCAGGATTCGCCGTCCAGTCCCCAATAGAAGGCGCAGGAGGAGCATGACATCATCAGCACCGAGCACCATTGGCTGGGCAGCCCTTGCGGGCAGGACGCTGTCTCCAATGGCCAGAAAGTTAACTCTTCCCTGGGCTGAAGCCATGTGGCCTTTAGGGGGTGAAGTCGTGGGAACTTCCAGACTTTTCCTTCCCTGGGTGACCAGTGTCATTCTGTGATAGGGGCTTCTATGCCCAACGAAACACTGGAAACAGTCAACATATGTATGAGGTACCTCCATGTGAGATGTTCTTTCTGTACCTTCTGGCCCACCTCGCATGGGAAACCTATCTGAAGAGTCTCTCTCTTGCTCCTAGTGAAACAAAAAGCAAAAAAGATCCTGTGACATCCTGGGACTCCAGGGTCCACAGGCAGGAGAGTGTCTACACACAGGGTATATTCAGGTGGCAGAAACAGTAGCATGCGTACCTGTGATGCTCCGTGCCTCTGTCTGAGTGGGGACCTGCGTGCAAAGTGTCCCTTAGATATGTGGGGACTGACAACTGAAAGAACTTGAGTTCTCTGTGTCTCCTGTCATCTTAGTCCTGATTGTCAAGGCCCATTGGGAAGCCCCAGGCACAGACTGACAGAGGCACTTCTGTGACCCCCTTCCTTGACTGGATGGTATAGCTGCGGTCATAAGAGTGCCTGATTCATATTACTAATTAAAAGGGCTGACGTGCATAAAATGACCATCCCTGGGCTTCCCCCATTGGAGGCCCTCAAGTGCTAGCTGGGCTTCACTATTGAGTTCCGGTCTGGAGTTGGGCAGCCGTAATTTAAATCCTGTTCCTCCTTAGTGAGAGACTTGGGGAAAACTATGTAATAACTTTATACATAAGGTAGGGCTAGTAACAGAGTGGTTTTGAGGTTTTTGTGAGGGCACAGAGTAACTGCTCAAGAAATGCTGTTAGTGGTGGTTCATGTCTTTAATTCTAGCACTTTGGGAGGCTGAGGGGAGAGGATTGCCTGAGCCCAGGGGTTCGAGACCAACCTGGGCAACATGGCAAGAGCTCATCTTTACATAAATACACTTTTAAAAAAAATTAGCTGGACGTGGTGACGCACGCCTGTAGTTCCAGTTACTTGGTAGGCTGCACTGGAAGGATTGCCTGAACCCAGAATGTTGAGGCTGTGGTGGCCATGAGCGTGCTGCTGCACTCCAGCATGGGCCACAGAGTGAGATTCCAACTCAAAAAAAAAAAAAGAAAGAAATGCGAACTATTCTCTTGTTTCTTTGTATTTTTTTGTGGAGACAGGGTCTTGCTATGCTGCCCAGGCTGGTCTTGAACTCTGGGCTCAAGCAATTCTCCTGCCTTGGCCTCCCAAAGTGCTGGGATTGCAAGCATGAGCCAGAGCCCAGCCCTCTTGATATTTTATACTTGATCAATGCTTTATTCTTCCCCAAAGGTCTTTCATACGTTAACTCACTTGGAAGCCTCAGTAACCCCAGAGGGTTGACAGCACATGTGTTTTTTATCTCTTGTTAATGGCTGAGGAAACTGAGGGACAGGGAGATTTAAATGACTTGCTCAAGACCATCCATCTCTAGCCGGGGTCGGTGGCTTAGCCTGTCATCCCGCGCCTTTGGGAGGCTGAAGTGAGTGGATTGCCTGAGTCCGCGGGTTCGAGACCTGCCTGGGCAGGTGAGACCTCATCTCTACAATAAATCAAAAAATCAGCCGGGCGTGGTAGCGCATGCCTGTAATTCTGGCTACTGGGAAGGCTGAGGCGGAAGGATCGCCGGAGCCCAGCAGGTCGAGGCTGCGGTGGCCGGGAGCGGCCACTGCACTCCAGTCTGGGCGACAGTGAGACTCCAACTCAAAAAAAAAAAAAAGACCATCCATCTTATGCGTGGCCAATGTGGACCCATCAGGCCCCTGACTTCCAGGCAGTGTCTCTTCCACATGAAATGCGCCTGGACCTCCTGGCAGGAGAGGAAAGGCCAAATCTGAGGACCATCTGGTCAGGCCTGGCCTGGTGTGACTTAGCCAGAAGGAAGCAGTTGCCTATTAACTCCTTGGGACCCAGTTAACTGGAAAAATCGGTCTGACATCGAGGAACCACCTGCAGATGGTGGCCGCCACAAAGGACTGGCAGTAGGGGTGAAATTTCTGTTCTCCAGTGACACTGTCCTAAATTCCAACTGGTTTCTTAGGTGCTCCTAAGAAAGGTGCTTAGCTTAGCTCAGTACTGAGGTGAATTGGTGGGTATGGGGGTAGGAGGAAGAGGAGAGCCAGAAACATGGAAGGTCATGCCCTTCGATCCTGACTCCAAGGCTTTCCTCTGTTTAGGGGGAAAGAGCCTCTGAAGTAAACCCTCACCTCTGCAGGTGGGGCTCAGGCCCAGAGACTGGGATCCATTGGCCCAGGCAAGTAGGGCAGAGCGGGGAGCTGGGGTGGGCAGAGGGCAGGGCTGGGGACCAGGAAGGAAGGTGGGAGCACAGCAGGCAGACTCCAGCTCTTGCAGTCTCTGAGGAGGTTGAGAGAAAGCGAGTGGACTTACTCCTTCAGACCCTATCTTTTTTTTTTTTTTTTTTGAGTCGGAGTCTCACTCTGTCACCCAGACTGGAGTGCAGTGGCCGCTCCCGGCCACCGCAGCCTCGACCCGGTGGGCTCCGGCGATCCTTCCGCCTCAGCCTTCCGAGTAGCCGGCATTACAGGCGTGTGCTACCACGCCCAGCTGATTTTTTGATTTATTGTAGAGATGAGGTCTCGCTGCCCAGGCGGGTCTCGAACCCGTGGGCTCAGGCAAAGCCCCTATCTTGAGCCTGTTCTGTTGTAGGTTACAGGGTGAGGGTTAGTTTGAAGAGAACAAGTAGGTTCTTGACCACACTTTCTAGGCTCGGGGATGAGGCGGTGGTTGCACTTCTCAGAGAGGCAGTACTCTGGAATGTGCACTCTGAAATCCACTTCTCGGCTCTGGGCGTGAGGGAAAGTGCTGATCTGTTCTGGTTTTCTGTTTCAGCTCAGGTCCTGGCTCGTCTCCTACCCCAGGAGGATGCTGTGGGAGCCGAAGCAGCAGTGAGAGGGAGAATGGGAAAAAGCAGCAATAGAGAAGGTAGATGCCTCCCTTTCAGCTCCCGGACCTGCTGGTCTTCCCCTCCCCAGAGGCCCTCGGTGTGGGGGTCCTGAGCAGGCCTTGCTGGGGCTGGCACCAAGAGCAGAGGTTTTGTTGCTCTCAGACTGGCTCTCTTCCTCTGAGTTCCTGAGCCTCCTTGGAGGCACTGCCGAGCTGAGAGAGCCCAGGGTCAGGGACTTGCTGGGGTCTGCCAGGTCAGTTCTGGGGCAGCCACCAGCCCAGGCAAGAGGTGGGAATAAGCAACGAGTAAGGAGATGTCAGAACCAAGGGACAGCTGATAGCTCATGCTTACCAGCCACGGGCTTCCATTCATCTCTGATTTAATACTCACAGTCACCCACGGAGAGGGGTAATATTATTATCCACATTTTGTAAATGAGGCAACACATAGAGAGGTTAAACAATTTGCCCCGTGCCATCTAGATAGTCAGCGGGGCTCCCAGGCTCTCGTGGCGGCTGTGGAGACCACACCTCCCCCCCCCCACCCTGGCAAGAGGCCTCCCTGGAACCTCACATAGTTAGCAGCTTGCCTGCTGGGGGAGGGGTTTTGCTGGCCTGGCCTGTCTGTCAGCCCAGGAGCTATTCTGTTAGCCCTGGGTTTGTGGTCCAGGACGGTGCTGGTGTCGGTTTGCCGTGGTGGCGCTCCCTTCCTGTGGCATCTACCTTTCCCTCGTACCCAGAGCTCATCCTGTCACTGGCTGCTCTGCTGAAATTATCAATAAGAGATGCCAGTTGGCTCTGTGACATGTCTGCCTGCAGCTGGATGGCAGCAATCGACAGCTTGTCCTCCGAACGTGTGTGAGTGCGTGTTCCGAGCGGGCAGTAGCATGTGGGAAGGGAAAAAGCATGACACTTGTTTTTGTCAATTTGCTGACTGCTCAGTCATGGTGGCTGCCTCCATTGCCCCCAGATGCTCTGCCATTTCTCTCTCTTTACAATCCGGCCTGATCCTGAGCAGAGATAAAAGCAGATTTCCGCTTCTGCTCCGGAGATCCAGGCGCAGACCCTGCAGGCGGCTGCTCCCGATGTCTCACGGCCATTAATCTTCAAAAGCCCCCCACGCCTCCCGCACGCAGGCATCTCTTCTCCCCAGCCTGTCCTCTCTGCCGGCCCAGAGGCAATGTCTCTGTCTGGCTGGCCCCTGCCTTTGACTTTCAGGCAGTAGGAGACGGAGGAGTTCTCTAGACAGCAGCACCTCAGCGGCCGCTCCACATCTGAAGGGAAGGAAGGAAAAGGGTGAGAGATGCAGCAGATGAGAGGGAAGCCACTCGGAAGCCACGGGGGGGGGGGTGGCACATCCCGCGGGGGGAGGGGCCGCTGGCACTGCCGGAAACCTGGCAGGGGTGGGTGCAAAGGCGGTTCTGTGGGAGCCTCTGAAAGTAGGGCAGGAAGGAGGCCGGGGAAGGTCACACTAGGGGAAGGAGCCCATCAAAGCCAGAGCGCCCACCTGACCCAGGCCATGAGGCCGTGACCACCTGTCTCAGCTCCTGTCAGCCTGTCTTTCCCCTGGGAGGCATCAGGCTCCCTGGTGACAGGACTGTCAGGCTGAGGGCCAGAGGGCACTGTTCCCGGGACCCAGTCTGTGTTCCCCGAGCCTGTCTTTGCATTCGTTCTCTGATCTATTTGCCACGTTCCTGTTCCTGTCACCTCATCCTTTCCCAAGTTGCCCATCCCTTCCCATTCGTCTGAGGGATTGTCAGGCCAAGGTCACGGAGCTGGCTTCTGGCCAAACACACTTCCACAAGGTGGCACCCCTTTGCGGCACTGTTCTAAGGACCTGTGCAGAGGACGGTGGCTCCTCCAGGGATCTGTTCCAGATGAAGGGCAGGAGAAAGAGAGAGGGGGCTGCAGGGATGGGGGGATGTGGCAGCCGGGCTTGGAGACTGCCTGGGCTCTGGCAGCTGGGGAGCCATGTGGGCTGGGAGGGAGGGGCTCTCTCCCCCAGGAGCAGGCTGGCTTTGGTGGGAGCAGATTGTGTTTACACCTTCCCCGCACACCCGGCCCACGCGAGCCTCTTATTCCCGGGGCCTCTCCCACCCCTGGGCTCTCCGTGCAATCTGCACATTTGCAGCTTGTGCTGCAGCGTCGGCTCCCTCAGCTTAGAACTCCTGCACGGAGGCTCCCGGGACCCAGGCACCCCTTTCTCGGCCCACTTGCTCCCATCACGGGGGTTGGCACGAAGCCCGTGGTGAAGGTGAGCCCTTAAGTGGGGGACTCGCTGAAACCCTGACGGTGATGCTGTCCCCGCAGAGGCTGAGTCTTTTCCCCTCCATTTCCTTGCCAAGAGTTGGTGCTTGGAAGTGGGAGCAGGAGTGTTTGGGGCTTGGTAGAGAGAGGGTTGCGGCAACCAGAGAGACGGGACCCGGGCAAAGGGCAGGGTCATTCCTGGCCCTGGGCCGCTGGCTACTGTGAAATGACAATTCAGAATTGAAGGGCAAGGAGGCCAGGGTCAGAGCACTTGGCCTTGACTCTTGACTCCACCACCCCTTCCCACCTCTGTGGCCTTGGGCGTGTTTCTGAACATCTCTGTGCCTGTTTCCTCAGCGATAGGTTGGAGATCATGGCAGTGCCTAGTTCTTAGAGTTGTTGGAAGGGTGGATTAGATAATGTGTGTAAAGTGCTCTGCACGCTTAGTAAGTGTCCCATATATGTAGGCTAGCCTGATTATGTGTGGACTGGAAACTCACGGTGGTTTCAGAGCAGCTAGGTTTCCTCACCCTGGGGTTCCTCCGGCCCTGTTTCTCCACATACATATAGAGGGGTGACTGGCAGTTGTGAAACAAATTAGAGGATGGCAGAGGGTGAAACTGCTGGGGTGGGGAAGAGCACCCCATAAGCCTGTACTAGAGAGGACCCCCATTGCCTCTCTGTGTCTGGAACCCTGGCCCAAGCTCCAGTGGGGGTCTTGGCCGGGATACCACCCCCCAACTGGCTCTGCTTTCTGAATGAAGCTCTGCTCCCGGAGAAGGCAGGAGGTGTTTGCCCTGCCGCCTTTCCTGCCTCTGTCTGCATGCTAATCTCTCTGCTGGTGGGAGCCTGAGTGACAGGGAAAAGGCTGCTCAGAGCTGCGGGGTGGCCAAGGGCAGCAGCCAGGAGCAGGGAGGTGCTGTTGTCTGCTACTTCTGGGACTGAGACTTGGGGTTGCTGCCAGTCTCTCCTGGAGATTGGAGCATGACCAGAGAATTAATGAGGTGGCGGGGGTGGGGTGGGGAGCAAAGGGAAGTAGCTGCAGCAGCTGCAGCAGCTGCTGCTGTCCTGTGTCACCCGAGGGTGCAGATGTGTCCTTGGGGAGTACTCACCCCCACAGATGTGTGGCTGTATATGTAGGACAGTCCTGGGTGAGGGCAGACAGCAGAGGCCCTGGGCCAGGACTAGATGGGCAAGGCCTGGTGCCCGCTCTCGGGCAGGCACAATGGTGGACAGCAGGGGACCCCCTGGTGCCCCGGCTCCCATAGCCCCCCTGTGGAGGTTCCTGTTAGTGGGAAGCCCAAAACCTAGAGCCAGAGGAAAATAACGCTTCTTTGTGAACCTCAGAAACAGGAGACCGGCAAAGTGGCCTACCCTGAAGCTTCTGTCAACATAACGATTATGATTCTAATAGGATGATTAATAATGGCTAACAGGTATCAGACACTTACTATGTGCTAGACACTGTGCCAACTGCTGTGTTTTATGCATTGTTTCATTTATGCAACAGGGACTGTTGTTATCCTCATTTCTCCAATAAGGAAAGTGAAGTTCACAGAACTTGCTCAAGGTCACTCACAGCTAGCAGTGAAGCCAGGGCCTGTGCCTGGGAAATCTGACGCCAGAGCTTCGGGTGGAGAGGGCCTGAGTTTAGAGTCTGGAGCTGTGAAGAAATCCTGGGTGTGACCTGTTTACAAGGGCACAGGAGTGGCGCTGTGGACTCGCCTTGGCCATGCCCTTGCAGGTGGGCTGGCGTTGGCCAGGGTTATTCCCACAGCTCTTTCTTCAGAAATTCACATTCATTCGAGGGCAGGCCAGACTCTGGACCCCGAAAGGCGAGTCCTGCCAGGGGAGGGGGTAAAGAGAGCTGCCTCTCTAGGATCCGTCAGTCCCCTTCAGGCAGGAAGCAGTGGCCCCTGGCAGAGATGACAGACACTGAGGTCATCACTCACAGTCATGGCCTCTGCCACTCTGTTGCCGCCTTCAGCCAGGGGCAGGGCCCTAGGGAGAGGAGAGAATGGCTGCCAGAGTCTAGCTGGAGGGGAGGGAGCTTGAGGAGGAAGGTTGTTTTTATCTGTTTTTGCAGGGGGAGGGTGCCGGGCATGAAGACCAAAGAGGTGGTTTCAAGAGGTTTCCATTGACAAGCCAGAAACAAGTCCTTGTACCTAAGAAGTACAGACCCTCTCTGTGGGACACATGTGCCCCCTAGTGGGGATTAAGACTATAGGGGGCCTGAAAAATTCAAACAAAAAAAGAGATTTACTGACCAAGTCTGAGCCTATGAGCTTGGGTAAGGAGGGGCCAGTCCTGTCCCTCTGTGCAAACACACACATACACAATCAGAGGCAGAAGCAGAAGCCATTCAAATTAAGCATTAAAAAGAAGTCAGTTTATTCACGTGGCCATTTATTTACCAAGTGTGTACTGGGAGCCTACAACGTACAGACACTGTGTCAGGTGTTGGGAGTGACACAGCAAGGAGATACAGTCCCTCTCGTGCCAGTTAGTACAACAGAAAGATCCCAGCCTGGGGAGCTAAGTTCTGTCTGTCTGCTTGGGCCTGCCTGCTCAATGACCTTTCGTTCTCTGGACCTGTTTCCCCATTCAGTAAACATGTGTTGAGCCCAAGTGGACTGGTGCTGAAGACGTAAAGGACTAATGACCTCCTTGGGAAAAGAACTGTCTAGAAAAATGAAGGAGACGGACCAGATGCTCTCTCCCCAGAGATTTTCCTGATCAAAAGAGATTATAATGGAGTGTGTCCGGAGGTGCTGACAGCCATTTACGGAGTGCCTGTGCGGCAGGCACTGTGGATACAGAAATGAATTAAGACCTTCTGCACAAACAACCAGAAACTGGGCAAAATATGAGAAGCAGACACTTGACAACAGACAGCACACAGAACAGTGACCCCATGACCGTCTCAGCTTCTGCCTGGAGACAGTTCCCTGCCTGTGGCTTGGGGAGGGGAACCCAAGCCGACCACGGTGGTCTTGCTAAGGTGAGGAGACAAAATCAGAGGTCAAGACAGTGGGGTATTTGCGAGGATACACACA